TGCTTTGTTCCTCAGGATGCTGGGTTCCTGCGTCGCTCGGCCCGCTGCCACTTTTGGGGACCTCCGGAACGCCAAGGCCGGTCAGGCGCGCTGCCGGCACGTCCCCCCCGTGACCCCGCCCCCCGAGCTGCAGGACTGGTTGCGGACTTTCCAGGTGGGTGGCAGGTGGGCTGGGGATTCGCAGCAAGGAGGCCTACTGGGGTCTCCGGGCAAGAAGCTCGGGGGGGTTGGAAGGATGGACTTGGGTTGCGGCTGTGGCAGTTTGGGGTCCATTTTCTGTTCTTTTGGATGCTTCTGGATCGGTGCACGTTTACGGAGCTTTATGTAGTTGGCCACTGAGGTGTCATCGTTGTAACAAGCATGCGACGTTCATAGCTGTTGCGTAAACGCCAGGTGAGTTCAGACACGGGTTGCTACCGATTGTAGGCACGGATGAGTTAAGAAAACAATTTTTTTTTGCTGTTTTTCTACTCCTCCCTGCACCCTCCCTGGTTTTCTATTAGCGCTGGAGTGGCCCAGAGAAGCTGCTGGCCCTGGATGAGCTCATTGATCGTTGTGAGCCTCCCCAGATTAAGCACATGATGCAAGTGATCGAGCCCCAGTTCCAGCGTGATTTCATCTCGCTTTTGCCAAAAGAGGTGGGTGACCTACTTGTAAGGAGGCACCAAAGAGTTAAAAGGCGGCGTTAGGGGTGATGTTGAGAGAGGGCTGTTTAGTGCAGCGCAAGCGTTTCTACAAAGGTGTCGGCGTAAACGAGAGCTTCAGGCGGTGTCGCAATGAAAGAGGGGAGCAGGAACAATAACTGGAAGAAGAACCTGTGAGCCAAGTACAAGGTTGTGGCGTGCACGCAACAGGCGTGAGGAAATCAGAGGGCCAGAAAACCCTGGACTTCTACCTTCTGGGGTGGTAGAGAAACGGGCTGCTTAGGTGGAGCCTCAACAGAGCGGAAGCTGAATGACCGCGAAGGAGGAGCCCAAAGGTAACAGGCTTGCATTGGAAGCGAGGGGGCCGAGACAGTTGCAGCGGAAAAGGCCAAGGTAGGAGGTGTGGCTCTGTTTGCAAGTCAGGTCTCGGGGCGCGCAGTGGGTCATGATAGGTTCAGAGGGCACCGATGAGCCTTTCCAACGCCTCCCAGAGCCATCTGGAAAGGCTGCTAGAGGAGCGGCGTGGTGGTGCTGCCCTCTTCGGGCCCCTGCCCTTGCACGGTTGCGGTCGTTGACGAGGCGCTTAGCTGGAAAACGGTCCTGCCCAAAGCAGCCTAGGCAAACTCTCGTCTACAAGCTGCGTGGCGGGCTCCGGGTTGCAGACAGCCTACAGGCGGATCGGCTGGGCTTTTGGACTGAGCTGCACGTGGGAAAGTTGAGCTGGAGCCGCCGGCGGAACGACCCCGATAACGGCTCTCCCTTCCCTTCCCTTCCAGCTGGCGCTGTACGTTCTCTCCTTTCTGGAGCCTCGGGACCTGCTCCGCGCCGCGCAGACGTGTCGTTACTGGCGCATCCTGGCTGAAGACAACCTGCTGTGGCGGGAGAAGTGCCGTGATGGAGGTGGGGCCCAGCTTCCGCCTTGTCCTGTTGTTGTGGGGCAGGCTCCCTGGCTGTCCCTGCCCTGACGACCCCCCCTCTTGTCCGTGCAGGTATTGAAGAGCCTCTGAGCCTGCGTAAACGTCGGCTGCTTAGCCCGGGCTTCATGTACAGCCCTTGGAAACTGGCTTTTCTGCGGCAGCATCGCATAGATATGAACTGGCGCAGCGGAGATGCCCGGCCCCCTAAGGTAAAGCATGTGCTCACCCTCAGTTGAGCTTTGCGCCATCTGGTCCCTTCTCAGATTAATTTCATCTGGTAGCCTGGCGTTCATCTTGCTTGCCCTTGAATCTATGCTGGGCGTTAGCCGCCAGCAGCGGGTGGCTAAAGCTTTTGAAACGCTATCTCTGAATTTGTCTCAATGCCCGCTTGCGCGCTCACGAGGAGGAGCTGCCAGCAAGCAGCATTCAGAAGCTGGAGAATCAAAAGGGAGAAGCATTCGTTGCATATACCCTGATCTCGTTCATCTACGTTTAAAGATTTGAAACCCCACGGGTGGCTCTGCGAGCACCAGCCACCAATTCCAAGGCTTGCTCCAAGCTGGAGAGCTTAAGCAACTCTTCTGGGTGAAGCCCCTCCCTGTCGTCGGAGTGAGTTCAGCATACTTATTCTTTCTATCCCTGGACCAGGTTCTCAAGGGTCACGATGACCACGTCATCACGTGCCTCCAGTTCTGCGGCAACCGCATTGTCAGTGGCTCAGATGACAACACCCTCAAGGTTTGGTCAGCCATCACTGGTGAGGTGAGTCCCTGTTCAGCTTCTCTTCTGTGGCGGCGGCCCCTGCCCCACCTGGCCCTTTTGAACATTCTTCTCCTCCTGCAGTGCGTGCAGACTCTGGTAGGACATACCGGTGGCGTCTGGTCCTCCCAGATGAGGGACAATATCATCATCAGTGGCTCTACAGACCGGACCTTGAAAGTATGGAATGCTGACACTGGCGAATGCGTGCATACTCTCTATGGTCACACCTCAACTGTGCGTTGTATGCATCTCCATGACACCAGGTATAGAAATCTGTGGTACGAGAGGTGGTATTCTGAAAGCACGCCGTGGTTTCCTGTGGTGTCAGACCTGGGGCTGAGGCCAGTTCCCTTCCCTTGGCAGGGTTGTGAGTGGCTCTCGTGACGCCACCCTCCGTCTGTGGGACATAGAGACGGGGCAGTGTCTACATGTGCTAATGGGGCATGTGGCTGCTGTGCGCTGCGTCCAGTACGATGGGCATAAGGTGGTGAGCGGTGCCTATGACTACACAGTGAAGGTCTGGGATCCTGAGACAGAGAGCTGCACGCACACTTTGCAAGGCCACACCAATCGGGTCTATTCTCTGCAGGTGAGCCTCCCCTTCGGTTTCGTAGAGTCATAGCTGGAAAGGAGTTTGCAGGAACCCACCCGCATTGCCAACTGGCCACTTTCTCTCTCTCACCATTGTGCAGTTTGACGGCACCCACATTGTGAGTGGCTCCCTGGACACCTCCATCCGTGTCTGGGATGCCGAGAGCGGCAACTGCTTGCACACGCTGATGGGACACCAGTCCCTCACAAGTGGCATGGAGCTGCGGGACAATATCCTGGTCTCCGGCAATGCTGACTCCACCGTGAAAATTTGGGATATCAAGACAGGACAGTGCTTGCAAACTCTCCAAGGTGGGTGTGTGAGCGTGGGTGGGGAGAAGATTGGCAGAGCAGGGCTCTCTGGTACCCTGAACGGGGACATGGGTCTCTGCCGTTATTGGCCCCCAGGAGTAGATGTCTCAGACGGCCGGCCAGCATGCAGCATCTAATGTGACCAAAGGCAGGCCCGAGAACTGGGCTTGGCTGCGGCCCCTCTTGCCATGCTGCTTTTGAGGCGCTTTCAGCGCTCGGGAACCTCCTGCCCGTCAAGGAGGAGGAAGCAGAAAACCTTCCGGTTTTGGTTTCTTCCTGCTGCTGGTCTTCCAAAGGGAGGGCCGGATGGGATGGCCGGCTCCCACGCCTTAAAGGAGCCCCGGCTGCTGGGTGTGGGGCAGGAGCGGTCACGGGACTGGCTGACCTCCCTGGGAAGGAGGCAACAGACGAGCAGGCTCTTCTCCCACCTCCCTCCCTCTCCGCAGGTCCCAGCAAGCACCAGAGTGCAGTCACTTGCCTCCAGTTCAGCTCCAAGTTTGTAGTGACTAGCTCGGACGATGGCACGGTCAAGCTGTGGGATCTGAAGACGGGGGAATTTGTGCGCAACTTAGTTGCTCTGGAAAGCGGGGGCAGCGGAGGGGTTGTCTGGCGCATCCGCGCCTCCAACACCAAACTTGTGTGTGCCGTAGGCAGCCGCAACGGGACTGAAGAGACCAAGCTGCTAGTGCTGGACTTTGACGTGGATCTGAAATGAGGGGCTGGTCTGTTTGGGGAGCCTGCAGGCCAGGTGGCCCCACTGGGGGGGAGGGGTGCGTCTGAGGGCATCTTATTTATAACTGATGCGTTGGGCCCACTGCGGCTGGCAGAACGGCATGGCACCGGGGACTGTTTTGTACACACTCATAATATATGGCTTTATTTCTGTAATTATTATTGCAATCTCTTCACCTGCAAGGAGAAATGGGTCGGGGCAGCTTGGCCTCGGGCTTTTTTCCACACTCCAGTCCTTGTGGTGGCATCTCACCGCAGAATGCTGATGGCGTGAACCCGCTGCTGGGCACACAGATCAGGAGGCATCTTGGAAGGAAGAGCCAGGTGCATGACGACCCGTTGACTGCGGAGGTCCAGGAGCGCCTGGGGGGTCCCTAAGTACACAGGGCAGTGATACTTGGGAAGGACAGAAGCCGTAGTCCAGGGCTCCCGGCTGGCTTGCACCCAAACTGGAGGCAGCTGACAGGGTTGTGCCGAGAGGGTCTCTTGGAGTTGGCAGCTGTTGGCATTCCACGTAGCATGGTAGAGCTCTAGGCCACCCAGGTAAAGGCCCTTCTCAGGGGCACTGCCAGGGGGCAGCGCACTGGCCAGCACCTGCAAAACCAAGAGGGCATCAGAGCCGAGGACCCAGGCCCGACACCCCTTGCCCACAGAGGCTGCCCTTACCTGCTGGTCCAGTTGGTAGCTGTCCACCCCTTGCTTCTCAGCCCGGGCCTTCTCTTGCAGCAGGGCGAGGAAGAGGCGCTGTGGGTGCTGGAAGGCTGCCAACTGATAGCACACCACTGGCGGCCCCCCAATAGACTCAAGGTAGCCGCACAGCAGCTCGCAACGCCGCTGAAGCGTGTTGAGCCACTCCTGCAGGGGCTCGGGGCCGGTGGGGGGGGAGGGCAGCCAGTGGCGGGGCAGCTGCTCTTGCCCCAGGTCCTGCAGGATAGCAATGCAGCGGGGGGAGGAGCAGGGCGCCCCCTGCAGGCGCTCTTGGGTGCACGTCAGGTCCCTGCCCACCTGCTTCAGCAGAGCCTGGAAGCCACCCGCCTCCTCCAGGAGAAAGCGCTGTAGGGGGCGGTGCTTGGGGCGGTGCTGTCCCTGGGGGGCATGTCCACGCGCTCCCGCCTCCCTGCCGCTTTGCGCCAGCTTCTCCTGCAGCTCCTGCACTGCCAGCAGCCCTTGCTTCACCAGCTGCTCCAGCGCTGTTTGGAGCTGGGGGGTTTGGGAGGGCCGGCAGGTCCAAAGGCCCTGGGACCCCTTCAGGGCTGACAGCAAGGCTTGGCTGCGGAGGGCCAACATTTTGGGCTGCAGGCTACTGCACAGGCCGACCCAGGCGGGCCCCATGGGGCTCGGCAGCTGCTGGATCCGGGCCTGGGTGGCCATGGAGGCCTCATCTTCCAAGAGCCCTTGGGGGGGGGAAGGCGCGACATCAGGGCCGAGCCTTGGGCCACGTCTGCTGCTGCCCGGGATGCTCTGCGTTGGCTTCCTCTTACCGGGGCTTTGAGGGCCGAGGACCGCAGCTAGAAGGCTCTGAAGGCCGGGGCCAGGCGCTTGGCGGGAAGCCGAGGCCAAGCACTGCCGGCACAAAGTCTTTACCACCTGCGCATCTCCTTCATCCAGAACATGCCCTCCGTAGAGGATGGTTCCTGTGGGAAGAGAGAGGGAAGATGCAGCTCCCCTTTTGGGTGGGCTAGCGGACTCTCTGAAGGGGATTCTTTCGTACCTGCCAGCTGCTGCTGCGCTTCCTCACAGCTGTCTGCCAGCTGACCCAGCTTCTCAAGAGCCTTGAGACTCGCCAGGACTTCCCCGTGACTCCTAGCAGGACAGGACAGGACAGAACAGACGGGATCTCAGAGGTGCTGGATTGCTCAGGAACCAGCCCCAGCAGCAGCAGCAGGGGAGCACTGGGCAGCCCCCGGGCCTAGGGATGGTCTTCCTTGTGCAGATGGAAGGGGCTGCGTCACTGGATCCCATGAGCTGAGTGGGAGACACCCGTCAGGCCTTCCTCATGCCAAAAATTGCTCTTGTAGGTAGATGGGCTTTGCCCCTAAGGACAGTGATGTAGGCCCCAGCTTGCACGTGTAGTTAGAGAAGGCTTCTGAGGCACGAGGGGCTGGAAAAGGGGGTGGAAGCAGCTGCTGTTGGCCTCGGAAGCAAAGTCCAGGGCTGAGAAGGGGCCGCAGAGCGCGTGGTTCTTGAAGGGGCGCTTCTGGAGCAGTGACCAGCTCTAGACAAGCCCAGCAGCTCTCCTAATTCTTCTTCCCACGGCACTATCATGCATATGGCAAATGCTGGCTTGGCATCCAAAAGCACCCGCGCGCCTTCCTTTGCATTCCTAACTAAGCAGACATACAGCTGCACCGTTTGGACGTTAGCTCTGTGGGTCGGGGGACAGAAACTGATGTTACTGGAGGATCAGAAAAGCAGCACCTCGGCAGCTCAGCTCCCAGCCCTTCCCCTGAGCTTTGGGTTGGCTGGAAGCTGTACGGGGGGAAAAGCCCTAGAAAGGCAGAGAGATGCGAATGCAGCGAAGGGGTCTCCGCGACGCTGGGCTGGTTCCTGGCTTAGTTCTAAATGTCTCCTAGTAGGAATCGCTGGGAGTCACTCCTGTCCAAACTGTGGAGGGTCTGTGCCTTCCTCCAAATTTCTCTAGCCCCTCTTTCCAAGCAAACACACAATGATTTCTTGTGTGAAAGTGGGCATTTTCCTGGTTTATTGCAAAATACTTATACAGCTCTTTACATGCTCCTCACCCTGAATATTGTGCTGTGCCGCACGCTGGTGTCAGAATATCACCAGCTGCCCGGCTGTAGCCCCCGTGTCGAGGAGCATACAGATGGCCTCCTTGGATCAGGCCAAGGTCCACCTTAAGCCAGACTTCTGTCTTTCATACCAGCCAACCAGATACGCCTGAGGCGCTCACAGGCAGGAGAAGGAGCCGGACCCCCCCACCGCTCTTGTTCTGCGACTGACATTTGGGCAACATCCTGCCCCCAGTCCAGGGTAACTTTGAGTTTTCAAGACTGATATATATCAGTTCTTTGAGAATTTGAGGGGGGTCTAGGAGAGACTAAGGCCAAAAAACCCCCAAAGTTCACTTGAACACAGCCGTTTTTTCTATGGTACAATGGAAAAGAGAGCTTGTCGGCTGACATTTAGGAGCCCCACCCGCCTGGAAGTGCATGCTCATGAGGGCGCATCGCTCGCTCCACGTGTGTCTGAGAGAGGGGCAATAGGCATTCCAGGAACTCTTTAACCAACGGTTTCCTCAGCCTGAAAAAATGTGAAAGCCTTTGCTGTAGTACATCACAAGTTGACCATGAATCAACAGGGCAATGTTCTGCTGAAGAAGCAAATGCTGTTTAGGGATGGATAAACGAGAGCAAAGAATCGGGATCCCAGCTCTACCTGGCGCTCGTCAGGCCCTCTTGGGAGGATCGCTTAGTTCTGGGCGCCACCGTCCAGAAAAGGGCATTGACAGAACAAGGGAGGGCTACCAATACGGTGGGGAGACAAAACCAAGTCCTGTGAGGGGTAGGCTGTGCTTAGCCTGAAGAAGAGAAGACCGTGCGTGTGTGCACGTGCACGTGTGAAAACAGTCTTCAAATATCTAAACGGTTAACGCACAGAAGATGGAGGACGCTTGTTCTCTCTTGCCTCAAAAGGCAGCACCCAAACGCGTGGCTTGAAAATGCAGGGAAGTAGAGACTCCCAGGTCAGGGCCAGGGTAAGAAAGGTCAACAGAGGTCCTGCACTGAGCAGGAGGTTAGACTTGACTCCTGACCGTCCCTTCAAGTCCCATCTTTTTTTTAAAAAAGGACCACTGTTTGTGGCGTTAAAACTAGTGATCGTGATTGTGCTCTCAGGTTACAGATTAAAAGCTCTTTATAAAGCATAATTCTGGACATGGCAAATCCCTGCTCTAGCCAAGGTGGTGAACCCACAGGCTCCATGCTGGCGGCAGCCTCAGACAAAACAGTTTGCAAGAGGTGGAAGTGTTTCCAGGACACACCATTGGGTCGCTACCAGGCCATCTCACAAGGCCCAGGAATCTTGCTGCTTTCTGAGCCCTTGGCACCCTCGTTGTTGGCCAAGTCACACTCTGGCCGGCCGGCCTGCCTGCCAGGAGTCACTGGGCAACAATCCCCTGCCTTGATTCTCTTGGGCAGCAAAGCAGATCGTGGTCCGGGCCCTAGAGTTGTGGCCTTCCAGCAATCTTGCAGGCAGGAGAATCCAGTCCAGACCCAGATCTCCCTTCCTGTTCTCCTTCCTCCCCGATGCAGGGAGAGGGATTTAAGGTGGCGACGTGGTTCCAATCGTTATAATGAGCTCCTCCTAAAAACCTTTTATTCCACCTATATTTTAGTTCATCTATTTTTAGATCGCTTGATTTTTTCTTAACAGTCATCTTTTACTATTTAACTTTTTTTTTATCTTGGCTATTACTGGTCCGTCTTTGTTACAGAAAATACATCTGCATTGCTGTCACGGGGCAAAAGAAGAGACAGCGGACACCTCCTGCCACAGTCCATGCGCCTCCTCCCCTGATGAAGGTCCCCTAGCAAAGAACCACCCTCGCCCCGACTCACCAGAAGTAGAAGGCAGCCTGGGTCCACGGGGCGTAGTTCTGCCGGTATAGCAGGACCCCGTAGAGGACCAGCAGCGAGAGCCGCTTCTCCGTGTCCAGGTTCTGGACCTGTCCCTGCAGCCACTGATGGGTGTGGGCTAGGATGCCCTTCAGCTCCAACGGCTTCTCGCAGAAGAGGGTGGTGGCGTTCCGGTGCACGGGCCCTGGGGACACGGGGGAGCAGAGGAGCTGGTGGGAGGGGGAAACCAGCCAGGGCTGCAGACTTGTTCGGAGGGCGACTCCTGGCGTCTGCCCGCGTTTCTCCCCTTTCATCTTTGGGTGAGCGCAGGGTGGACAGACGCGACCTCTCTTCCCCAGCCCCCTTCAGGAGAACGTCAGTACCTGGCACAGAGTCGGGGGCATCAGCTGTCGTGATGAGCCAGAGCCGGAACTTGGGGTGGATCTCAAGGGGCCCCTCTTTGGTGTGTCCTGGGCGAGGAGGATGGAGAGAGTGAGGGAGGGGCCCTTCAACACCTGGCGGTGACCGACTCCCCCGGCCCCTGCTTTCCCCTCACCTGCCGGGGTGAGCAGCACCAGGTTATCCTGCACCAGCACCTCTGGGCCCCACTGGCTTACCGCATGACAGTTGTTCAGTACCAGACA